TGGGTTTTCTAAGGTTCTTTCGACTGTTCTTAACAAGCCAAGATGAGCATCACCCCTCTGTAGCAAGGCTGGAGCGGCGTGTGCAGACACCAGGCTGACCTTCCTCAGTGCACTGCTGTCCTCAGGGCTTGTGTAGGACAGTCTACCCATTCTCAGTGTGTATTTTGTGAGCTTTGTCAGAGAGTAATAGGTGTTCTGTGAAGGGCAGAGGGGCTGGCGAGGTTCAGGGACCTTGAGGAAACCACTTCCTAGAATAAGGTGACCTGGGGACAACTGCCCCAATCCTCTGGTCAGTCAAAAAAACAAAAAGCACAGCTTCATCACAAAAGGATTTCCATTAGAAATAAATGTAGCCAGTACTCCTCAGGAGAGGGACAAGGCTGCTTCGTAGGCTGCTTTCACCAGCTCGGCCTGCACAAGTCATGGGACTCAAAGACCATGTGGCTACAAGACCCTGTGGGAACCCTGTGACTTGTCAACTGCCCAAAACTTGCAGGGCTCGTATTTCAAAAGGACATTCGGTGCAGACTCACCGTCAAACTTGTTTTAAGTAAGTAAACACATGGACGGATACTTCTAGAGGAGAGGACTAGGTAAACTGTAGCCTGAATTTGGCAGGAACAGCTCCAGAAACACCAAGAGAAGGTTTATCTTGCACTTGACTTCAAGATTTTGGACTACCTTGCTGAGCCCTTCACACGCAAGGCCTGCACTCTGGTTTTGGGGGGAAAGTGCTCTTTGTCCAGGTAAACGCTTTACCTTGATCATCATTTTCCATGCTGCTGGGATGAACTTAAGCATCTGACTTAATCTGTAGTGTCAGCATGGTCAGAAGGCTTCATTTGCATTTTAAGTGAGATGTTTGTGAGTAATGGAAGATGGACGGCTTCACTGCTGTTTATTTGTGGGCATGTTAGGTTGCGGTTTGTAGGAACAGGGCCTTGATAGGTGCAGCCAGTTTGGTTTCTTCTGGCCGCACTGGTAAAAGCACCCATGGGTGTTGCTGGAGAGCTCCGAGGGGAAAGGAAGAATTCTTACAGCATCTCTGCGGCCTCGGGGTAGTAGGAGCCAGCCAGTGAAGGGGAGAGGTAGCATTTCAGTATCATGTAGGATGTTTCTGCACAAGTAGCAGGTAAAGCTTGACTGGGGCTGTTTAAAAATTTTCTTAATGTATTAAGAGTTGGAAGTAAGAACTGTCTGCCGGTGCTCTTCCAGCTGGGCAGGGTGCTTCTCCCACCCAGCAGTGGCTGTCCCACAATGTGGGACCCTTACACTACATAGCTCAGGACCCAAAGATGCCATGGGGTGTGGTGTCCCAGGAAACCTCAGAGCAGGGACAGTGACAGCTGCAAGTTGGTCCTGTGAAAGTAGGTCCCACACATGCACACACTGGGCCCAGTGAATTTGAAGTCTGAATCTGGTGAAATCAAAGTACAACTTTGGTTTTGGAAGTGTTATGGTTCTTTCCCAAATTCCTTTAACTTGTAGTTTTATTCAGAGATGAAGGCACAGTATTTAATTTCAGATGCCAATCTTATAGCTATGTTGGTGCTGACATCTTCCCTCCCAACAGAGGGTTCCCTTGGTAATGAAACAAAAAGGTGGCTTAGTTACCATCCTTCTGGAGCTTACAACTGGATTATTAATGCATGTAAGAGGGAACAAGTTCCCAGTTAATTCCAAAAGACATACTGTGTTCCTGTTCAGCAGTGACAGAAAAGGTGGTTTTTCACACTGTAACGAAGCTGGTGTTTGGGTAGTGGGAATATACCACCCAGACCTGTCATCTGCACATCACTAGTGACCATCAGAATGGTGCGGGCGGGGTTCTTATTCATGCAGCCCAAGGCCTCTGGTACAAAAGCATATGGAAGTGCTGTGTTCCGTGCTGACTAGAACAGGGTGGCCCAGGGCAGGCTGGAGAGGCCAGGAATCTCCTCCAGGGGGAGCTGTCTGGTCTGGCCAATCCGGGTACCTCTGTGACTGTGGCTCACAGATGGCTGAAGAGAAAGCCGCCTGGTGAAGCTGGATGCCACGGTTTCTATTCTATGCAGGCTCCAGCATGTGGGAAGGCAGGCTGCCGGTCCCTGGTCTGCACCTGGTTGATCTTGCAAAAAGGAATTTATCAAGCAAAGGTGTGACAGCTAGAATAAGCACTTTATTTTTTAAAATGACAATAGAAAAGTACCTTTAAACAGCATATAAAAGCATAATAGACCGTGTGGCAGTTGCTCTGTTTTCCTCAGATACACGAGTACAGAGACTCACCAAGAGCCAGGTGGAGCTGCAGGCATGAGCGGGCCCTGGCGCAGCAACCCCACCCCCCCAAACTGCCCTTCCCTCGATTACGGGAGGAGCTCATCACCCCCTGCTGCCCTTTTTTCTTTTTTGGTGATGGCCTTTAAAAGCTTCTTGGCATCTTTATTTCTAATGGAAGAACCATCAAAAAGCCCCATATAGTCATGAAAAATTTGGTGTCTTCTGTACAAAGTGAGCAGATCAGGAAGAAAGTTTGCGATGACGGTTAGTTGAAAGTTCCTTCAGGAGTTGAAAATTCTTAGGTCAACATAAATTCACGCACGGCTCTTTGACCACAGGTGGGAGAGACCGAGCTATCTGGAAATGCGTCCACTTATGACACAGACTGGTTTTGAAGAAGTCTTAAGCAGGCTGAACAGAATTGAGTCCAGAGGCCCTCTGGTGCACCACCTCTGCGTGGGCTGGGGCCACAGGGAGCATCACAGGCGGCCACGGAACTCAAGGTAATTTAAATGGTTCGGCTGGCATGGCACTGCCTAAACTCAGGAAAACCAGCTCAGTCCAACCTCACTTGGGAGACACAGGCTGCCCTTCCAGACCCAGGTTTTCACTTGCCAGTGAGACAGACATCAGTAGGTCTCACACAGGCATGTGCTGTTAGGTAAACATATGAAAATGGCATGACCTACACTCAGCACGTAGGTTGTGGAGTCGCCTCTAGAGCTGCAGGGCTTTCTAAGGGCTCTCTGGTCAGGGATCAGTACCAGTGAAGGCTGCTGCACCAGAGAGTTTCTCTGATTGTCTTCTGCAACTGTCCTACCAGCCTGGGCATGTGGACCTGGTACCGTGGACAGCTCCATTCTAACTTTGGACACGGTCAGGCAAGCAGCTTTTCATATATTCAAAATATGACTGATGATATTTAAGAACATGCAGCTTATGTAGAAGGAAAAAAATAGATATTTTTAATTACAAGTGTTCAGAAGTCAAGCACAAAAAACGTGATCCAACCCAGTGTAAGATTATCCATTCTGACACATTTGCTACAAAAATACTCTCTGTTTTGTTGACATCTTTTATGTTTTGTTTGAAAATATCTCCAAACTGTACAGAAATATATGTCAGACCATGCGTTCACAAATAACACACTATTTCTTATAATACAGTGTAGAAAAGTAAAACATTTTTATTATATTGTTTTCTTCGAGAAACAGATGTGTGACAGAGGCTGTGGCAAAGTCTTGAAGGGCTCAAAACTGGGCAGGTTTTCTCAAGCCTGAAACAGAAAGGGAATGTGTGAGGGCGTACTCCTTCCTCCGGGCCGGGGTTTGGAGACGCCTGTGGACAGGAGCATTTGTGGCTTCGCAGCCAGTGGGTGAGTCCCTGCAACAGCATGTGTAACATACAGACCATTCCCAGGAGGATCCGTGGTCCTACTTTAGATACCGGAAGTTGCATGGCTGTAACTTCCACTTACCTCTTACTAGAAACTTTTTAGGACTGTCTCCCCGTGCAAGGAAGTGCTTATATTTGTTTCAACTTGCAGCAGATAAAAGACCCAACAAACAATCAGACACTTTCTGACTGCTCCTGGCAAAGTCCCAGCCAGGGTTCTCTTGTCTTACTTACATAGAGACTGCACTGTAAACCTCTGCTGTTACTGTCATTCATTTTACTTTTCTCTTACACATTGAGACTCAAGTATACACAGAAATAAATCAGCATATACTAGACTTTTGTAAAGAGAAAGGCCTATCTATGTGTGTTTGGAAGCTATAAAGAAAACAGGATAGGTACATGGACAGTTATCAATAAATGTTGAAATTGGAAACATTTAGGTGAACACTCTTGCACATAGCTAATTGGCCTCTTAATAAATACTCCTGTCCAGACCAGATCTGTGCTATGAATCAGTATATCTTGTCATAGCCCAGTCTGTAAATGACAGTACCAGTAGGTATAAATAATAGGCCACAGTCACAAGACCAGCTATAATTACCACATACCACTTGGTCAGGGACAGTTCCCCTGGGAGAAATCAGGGTGAGCTGAGAAGGGATCTGGGCGTCCAGACCCTCACCTGTAATGTTAGAATCACCTACTTCTTCAGCTTGTTGCAAATATTAGTCCTAGCACACTGATTTAATTATGCTTATAGACCAAATTAGCCATTTGGAAATGTGAGGCTTAGGTACACAAGAACCTTAGTAAACTCCCATGTTTACTCCCTAAGCAGCAGTCTCTTAAAGAAGAGCATTTGTCCAACAGGACTGAGGACAGGAGCAGCCAACTCCTTCAGGACTCCTTCAGGTAATCTCACTTTGACTCCTCCACTCCCCTGGTGCCCAGCAGAGCAAGGGGATCTCTGGGATGGGTCACAGGTCCTGTGGCACTTAGGGCCAACAGACAGACTCCCTCTTGAAAGCTACATCTCTTCTGCTACCCCGATGCAGCCCTGGTGGTGCTCAGGCATTATCTTTGGGGCTGTAGCAGCTGATTGCGCTCAATGAGCCTCCCTAACACCTTAGAGGAGCTGCACAGACACCCAGATTCTGTCTCCCAGCTGCCAGGCCTGCAGTGACAAGTCCCACGTCATCCCAAACTTGACTCTGTGCCAGGAGGCTAAGCTGTGTGTGAATTCCAGGAAACCATTTCTGAGACGGTCCCCCTTCAGCTGTTCGTAGCTTGGAACAATTCACAGACCCTGGGACCCAAGGCCTGCACTGCCTGGCCCCCCACAGAGCTCGGTCAGAGAGCCGCTGGACTGGGCCTGAGACCGGAGCTGTCAGGCTGTATTCAGTGACCAAGAGAAGGGACAGGCGGAGCAGGCAAAGGACTGTCAGCCACAGGTGAGCATCACTGCAGCAGGGTGATGCCCCAGTGCCCCCAGCCTCTGGCTCTGTACAGCAGGGGCCCGGCGGGCTGCTGCCTCAAGCTTCTCTGAAGAACTCCGCACCACCTTCAGGCAAGTGCATGGTGCTAGCCCTCACCCTTCTGCCACTCGCTGCCTTGCGTTTGCCCGGCTCCTGCCCTGGTGAGGCTTTGTCCGTGACAGCGCTGTTCTCCCCTGGCCTGCGCACACCCCGGCACCTTTCAGGACTCTCTTCCCCGCTCCATCCAGAGCTAGTCACCTGGATGTGGTAATAAGTCAGACCCTTGAGAAGGAGGGGCCCTAGTCTTGTTGATGCCCTGGGACCCAGGTTAGGCTCACCCACCCCCACAGGGCAGCTTTGGCCTTTTACAGGAAGCTGATAGCAGGGGACATAGGCAGGGGTTTCTCCTGCAGTAAGCAAGTCATCCTGACCTCTCTGTATTCTGTCGCCTCCTTCTTGGGCCCTGAGTAGGACACAAGGTGTACAGGTCTGGTTAATTTTGGCTGATCCTTTGAAGTGAAAAAGAATATGCACAGGAGGAAGGGACGTGAGCTGACAGTTTCCTGGGCTTTTCCATAACTGTGCTGTGTAAATGTAACTCTCACATGGGAAAAGAATGCGTCTACACTGCCATAGATATTCCTGGTCTGAACAGAAGGCCAGAGTGTGGCTATTTCAGTCCCTGTAAACAAGGAAGGGGTTTAGCTGGGAACAGAGTTCAAACCCTGGAATATATGAACAAGGACATTTTAAGTAGAAGGCAGAGACATCCGGGAACACCATGGAGGGTTAGGCTGTTTAGAGAGCGGACTCAAGTCAGAATCCCTGAGAGAGTGGGGTGGGGGGTCACTATGGCATGCCTGTGACAGGATGGACAAGGGAGAAAGATACAGTCTTGAAAATAGACTTCCTCTTGGCATCTTCATTTCACTTGTCCTTGATCAAAAACATCAGTTTGGAGCACTGAGAACTCAGGGACGGCTGGGTGGGGGGTCCAGGTGCTTGCAGGGTGCCCCATCTCGCTACCTGTATTTGACCTGTTGACTATCACTTCTTTCCCAAGAATTTCTGTTTCCCTCTGTTCACTCTCAATAAACATGGTTTCATTTTATACATGTCAGCTTGATTTTTTAAAAAATATTGATACTAATTTATAATAAGAACACTATTTACCATTTAGAAAGGTTCTTCATCACCAAAACCCAAACAGCCTGAGCAATCTTGAGAAGGAAATAAGCTGGGGGTATCATGCTCCCCAATCACAAAGCCACAGTCATGAAAACAGTGTGGGACTGGCCCAAGAACAGACAGTGGGGAACAGACAGTCTTTTCAGTAAATGGTATTGAGAAAACTGGACAGCTACATGTAAAAGAATGAAATTAGATCACTGTCTTTTATACCATGTACGAAGACTCAAAGTGGATTAAAGACCTATGAGACATGAAACCATAAAACTTAGAAGAAAACAAACTCTTGAATATAAGCATTGGTAATTTTTTTCTGGATATGTCTCCCCAGGCAAGAGAAACAAAAGTAAAAATACAACAAAGGAAAGCAGCCAAACAGCAAGGCAACCTACTGAAGGGGAGAATATATTACAAATATGTCTGCTAAGGGCTAATATCTACAGCACATCAAGACCTCATATAAAACACCAAAATAACAGTCTGATTAAAATAATAATCAGGCAGAGGACCTGAAAAGACATCTTTCCAAACATGAAACAGAGTGCCAATGGAGCACATGAAGAGATGCTCTACATCCCTAATCAGGGAAATGCAAACCAAAGCCACAGATAATCACCTCACACCTGTCAGAACGGCCAGTATCAACAAGACAATAGCGAGTTTGGCGAGTGGGCAGGTCCCCTCTGGGAATGCCGTGTCACTACTTTATGCGTACACTTACTGCTAGTGCAGATGAACTAAGATGTAACAGCTGGTATTGTTTGAAAAGACCAACAAATCAAAATCACCACCTGCTAGGAAAGCCCAGCAGTCTGGAGGAATCCAGAGAACCCTGTGTAGTTCAGTCATGCCCAAGGGCAATCACCCTACTTCGAAAGAAGCCATGAGAATGTCCCTGAGTCATTGGCAAGGAACTGTATCATTGCCTAGGACGGCTGCGGTGAGGGCCCAGGAACTGGGCAATGTGCTCTGAAAGTTTGCAAAACTCTCCGTTGCTCTCCTGGGACGCCCTTCCAGGCCCCGGCAGGAGCTAATGAGCACAGACCCTTGACCCTGGGCACGCCATGCCAGCACGTCTCCCTCTCAGACACTCGCCGAATCACCTGGGAAGGCAGCAACACCCAGTTTGCTGGGCCGCACCCTGAAGCCTGGGGTTCCCTCCCAGGCAACGTTGGTGTGACGGTCCTGACCACACCCACACCAGTCTGTACTGTTGTGCCCTGCCCAGGACACGCTGCTTCTCCAGAGGGCCTTTACAGCCCTGACTTGGAAACTCACCAGCATGCTCCAGTTTTGTAGAACAGCTTGAGAACAGTAGCCACCACTGAAGATTGCATTAATACCCACAAGACAGATTGCAGCCACCGTCACACACCTGGAACCTAGCATGGAGAAAAGAGATCGCCCATTAACAGCGCACAGTAATCTCCACCACCGGGCTGTCCTGCTGGGGGGCTCCCTGCGTTCTCGGAGTCAAAGGCTAAGGGGCCAAAGGCTCCACTGAGCTAAGGCGTGGGGACGAGTGAGGTGGCACCCAGGGGCCACGCAGCTTGTACCCCGGCAGTGGAGTGTGGCTCCCAGGGATCACTGGCACCGAGGCCTGGGGGCAGAGCATCTGGGGGAGACCGTGCTGTGGGAGATGTCTGCACACATTCGCTCAGGACGGGGGTGCAAGTCACTCGGGAAAGGCAGCACCGGGAGCCCGCCGGGCCCAGGAGGTGGGCCCCCTGCACACGGTCCCGTCGGCCGGATGCCCGGGACTGTCCAAAAGCCCCGTGAAGGGAAGGCCTGGGCCCTGATGACAGAGCAGACAAGCCTGAACCCTAACGAGCTCCAGGGGGGTCCTGTGCTCTCACATGCACCAGTGAGCTCAACTGTGCTCCAGGCACCTACTGGAAAACCAAAACCAAAAGGAAACATTTGCGAACATACCCTGCTGTTCTCTAGGGTCTGAGAATTTCAAGATATGAAAGTACAGCAACCGGCAAATAGTAAATTTTTAATATTCTTCTTGCACACATGGCTGCTTCTGAGCGAGCTTGTTTCACGAGAATTCTTGGTGCCAGGGCAGGAAGCCCAGCTCCCCATGGGTGGGCACCAGCGGCCCTCTTCCCTGATAACATTTATCAAATTTTCTGCCCCAGTTGGTGCTGCTCTCTCGATCCTGCAGACAAAGGCTGATTCTGGCAGCAGGGCTTAGTGAGCTGGAGCTCACGAGGTCCCCCCAAGTCCCCTAAAGGCCCCAGGGTTTGCTGGCACAGGAAGCCACCACCCCAGGATGCAGCAGGGCGACTGGGCCTGTGCTGAAAGCCACCTCCCGGGATTACGGCGAGGCTGAAGGAGAGACCGCCTTCCTAGGACATCGATCTCCTCAGAGGAAACAGAAAGGAAAAAGTTTAACAGCATTCTACATGAGTAGATGGGATTCTAGTTGCCTAGTAAAAGTTGAGGACAGGAAAATAAATACTCATTTTAGTTAATGAAACCTGGCAGCGCTAGGGGGCCTCCTGGGCCTGCCAGACCAGGGCTGCATTCGTAGGGTGCCTGTCGTTTGAGAAATCCCAGCCCTGGCCAGGTTCCTCTGGACTTCTCAGCTTCAGCCTATCAACTATGACTCAGGACTGCTGACTTGAGTTCTGCGAGCACGGGGTTTGCGCACCCCGTTACTGCATCAGCAACACTTGTCCACACACCGGGGCTCCCCTGGTGGGCAGTAGCACGCACAGCCTGCATCTGTGCTCAGAGACCGCAGGAGAAGACTTCCTGAAGAACACAGTGGAGGGGAGCCCAAGTGCGTTCACACTTCAGGGGGAGCACGCAGGCCTTCTGCATTTCCATTTTCAGCCAAATGGGGGAGAGGAGGGAAGTGGAGGGTCAGGGCAGAAGGTCCGGGAGGGGCCCTGACCTATGGCTCTTCACTCTGGAGTTGTGGGGCTGCCAAGACTCCAATGTCCTGGTCTTACACGCGGCGCCCTCCTCTCCCTTCCTGAGGATCCCTCAGGCAGCAGTCCCAACCTCCCAGCCAGACTCAGAGAAGACAGTGGCCGAAGGGGGAGCCACCCTGACTGCCCTGGGCTGTCGCGAGGGTTGCTTGTGTGGCTCGCAGGTGTCTCTTGTGCTTTAACTTCAAAAGCCTCGGGGGCACCACAGTGCCTGGCAGGTGCAGGCCTTCCTCACACAGGAAGCGTGACAGGCCTGGGGCCCGGCCCGGGGAAGTGGGCACCAGGGCACGCGCTCCTCCCTGGAAACGGGGGAGGGGGGTGTGGAGGACAGGGACTGCTCTCAGGGAAGGGCTGAATGGCGCAGCGCCTAGGTCTCTTCTCCGGAGAAGGCAAGGCTGACTGCAGGAGCCACAGCAGCTGTCTGGGCCTGCGTGGAGACCCAGTGCCTTTCCTGCCCTGCTTGCTCCAAGCTGTGCCTCGACATTCAGTGCCTGGGGCTCCCTGGACGATGGCTGCAGCCTCCAGGCCTGGTGCTCACAGCCAGAGACTGACGCCACCATTCTCCGGAAAATAAACATAAGGAATGAAGGGTTTAAACTCCAGCCCTATTAGCTCTTGCCATGTTTCTCCAATTTGTCGAAGCTGTAACTGCATGTGCTTATAATTTCTATGCTGTGGTCCTGGTCCACGGCCAGGGAGGTTTCATGAGTTCCTAAAGAACACCCACATCCACCCCAACTCCTCTTTTTAACTGCATTTGGATACCCAACAAGGAGAACTGTGTAACTGATGCCCTGTAAAGAGGGACTAAAAACTTGCTCATGCTATTCTTTCCTCAATATATCGGGGTGCTGATCATTTTCTATTGCTGTCATATAATCTGGGGCTCCCTGCCACAGCCAGAGTGTCAGCAAAACTCTTACCAATGCGCAGACACAGCTTGCAGCCAGACCTAACGCTGCCTACCAAGCAAGATGCTGAACAAATTAAAATAGCACCAGTAACACCCACCACCCTCGTGACCAGTCATCTGACGGTCTTACACCACTGACCGCGGTGACCCACACACACCACCGCCAGCTTTCTGGAAGCCTCCTGAGCCGTGACTCTCTTTTGTCTTTTAAATGTGTGTGCACGACTTTTCACCCGTTAGAACTTAGGCTCCTTAGCGGACAGGACTGTTTGTACATTTTTTATCTAGCATATATCAGACACGTAACATATTTAAAGAGCGGATTTACTTTTCTAGTCCAGTCCCTGATTTCCCTTTAGAAATAAGAAATTAAAGTGGGTAAATTAAAAGTCCGTGAAGAACCCCTGGGAAAATAGGCCCTGGACTTTCAGGATCTGGAAAGGCTGTACCCCGATGCCCTGCACAGGCCAGCACACCTGACCCCGCATGTCACTCCCGCTCCTGTGTCCGGGGCTGGCCTTCTGTGGAGGGGAAGCTGCCCCCGATTGATGGGGGGGAGGCCACGTGGGCCGGGGCTGCCATCGGCACTTACCCTTCATCTGGCCTTTTTGAGAGACCTCTTTTGCTCTAAAATGCTTCTGTTGTTTCATCACACCACTGCTTTCGGTTCTAATTTACATTTCCCTACAGTGACAGCCTGGATTAATAGCTGTTTGGGAAGGGCCTTGATCTGAGAGACTAGGAGCCGGGGTAAGGCAGCTACACAGGGCGGGTTACTCAGGTGAGACGGGGACCAGGGCCCCCCTCCAGGGCCGTGGCAGGGACACTGTTCGCCCTCCTCCTCAGGCCCCGCCCTCCACGCCCTCCAGACCCAAGGACGGAGCTTCCGCCCAGAACACAGGGCCTATCTGCAGGAGACGGCGTTCTCCCTGCCGGGGGTCCTGGGAAGGGGGCGTCCCGTGCAGGAGGTCTGGTCCGCCTCCCTGTGCTTTGAGGGGTGACACACACCAAGCAGAGGCTGACTGGGGAACTGTGACACTGAGACTTGACTGTAGGGCAGATTCCCCAAGCTCACATGCTGAATCACAGTTCAGAATATCAGTACTTTGTGTTTAACAGAAGTTCAGTCAGGATACTGCATTAAAAAAGGCATCTGGAATTTTACAAAAATTATACATTTACAGGGAAAAAATTCATCTGGTAAGTTCTATGAAGCAAAGTCAGGCCTGAGATTAAATGGCACAGATGCCAATTTAGGGTATTGTTTCCCTCAAGGTAGAACTTAAGGAAAGCCGTCTGGAGCGGCGCACACACTGCCTTCAGCACACACGAGGCCGCGCGGCGCGCACGCGGGGGTCAATGCTGCGGAATCACCGCGGCCGCCCCCTGCCCCGCTCGGGCGTAACAGGACCCCCGCCGGTAACGTGGGAAGGTTTGTCCGTCGCGGGCCGCATGGGGACTCCAGTGACCTAAAGATGTCCTGACGCCTGTCCCATAGGACCACTCGCACTAGGCGCTGATTCATGCAGGGGAGGCCACAGACTCAAGGCAGAGGCCCTCACCTCTCCCTCGGCGCTGGGGGAGCTCTCGGAAGGGGCGCACTGGGCACTACCCTAGAGACGGGTGCGGGGTGGGGTGGCACTCAAGCGAGTCTGCCCACGGCGGGCAGCCACGAAATCAAGTACTCACGCAGTATTCAGAACTGCCGAGACTTCCAGCCCTGAGAAGTAGCCTCGGACGGAGGGAGCCAGCGCATCTGAAAGACGTGGGGAGAGGGCTATGAGTCGGGGCTCCCGCGGGCTTCTCCTCCCTCCGTTCCCGGGGCAGCGGAGCACTGTCCCCAGATACCTGCACCCCCTTCTGAGGCCCCGGGCTGCACTCTCAGGGAAGCGCCCACCTCAGGGAGTCCCAGATGGTCCCCGGCTGCTCCCACCCTGCTAGACAGTCCCAGCCAACCGTGGGCCAGATGAGTCCCCTCTTCCACACGTAGTGCCTCAGCTGGGGATGGGCTGCCTAGTGGCTTTCTATAGATAGAAGCAGGATATAGAAACATGCATTGGCTTTGATAAGGAAGGGGTGGTGCACAACCCATTCGTGTCAGTGGTCCAGCCAGAACTTGAAATTCTGCTTCTGTTCTTTGAAAAGGGGTTCTGACTCAGCACTGTGGGGTGCCAGTACCCTGGGCCCTCTTTTTACCCTGAGAGGGACCTGCAGCCCATCTGTCCCGAGAGTTTCCAAAGTGGAAGGCCAGCCCCAAACACAGATGGACTGAACCATGCTTTGTCCACTAGGCAGAACGTTCCTGGTCCTGACGGGGCAATGGGAGAATACGCGCACCTCGGCTTAAACAATGTCTAATGGCCACGTCAGTTTTGCCCCTAAGCCTTTGGACAGAGCAGAGATGCTCATTTACCGTGGGAGGGATGGAAGGCCTCTCCGTCACAGCCACAAGCAGGAGGAGGCTGGGCATGGAGGACGGCAAGCAAATCACAGCCATGGGGGAAGTGGCACCCTCGCGAGTGGCAGGACAAAGATGACTACTTTTACCTGGGTCTCGCCCAAGCTTGTTTGCCTGAAGACATTTCCAGAGCAGAATGTGATGCTGAAGGAACTGTGCCCTGACACATCTTAAATGGTTTAATAAAATACATTTTGCTGCAGAACCCCTTTTCTATATGGTGTCTCGGTCAGAGCTCTAGAGCATGCAGATGAAGGGATACGCTGGCTGAGACGGAGGCACAGGGCACCTGAAGCCTACATGGGGGCTCTGAGGAGGCTGACGGCCTCCCACCTCGTCCTACCCACTTTTATAAGTGGGGCAATAGCTGGATCTGTATTCTGAATGACGTCCCCGTGGTCACAGAGCCCAGTGGGGTCAGGGGTCAGGAGCCAGGGCTCAGAACCCACTAACACTCCTAACCTGAATTGCATGCTGGCTGTCCAGCAATAGGTCCTGGAGAAAGAAAGACAGCCCCTCCAGCATCCTGGCCTTTTGCCCTGGTCCACATGCAGGGGTCCTCAGTGCAGGGCAAGGGGCCATGCTGGGGTCTCTACCTGGGGCAGAGCCTGGCCTCACGTGCTCAGGAAACAGGCTTAGAAGGACCAAGGGTGCCTTCAGAGCTTCTGCCTGTACCAGGGCTCCATCCTGGGGAACCCCTTGGGCCAGCTGTCCACTAGGGACCCTTTGGGGGACCATGAGGTATCACTAGAAGTCAGATTAGCAGCTTGCATGCAGCCCTGTATCGTGAGAGGGCAGAACTCTGTCCCTTGGGAACCACCAGCAGGTACTGAAGCTCACTGAGGGCTGGGCCAGTGCCAGTCCCTACACTTATGGGGACAAGGGACCAGAAAACCATCACATGCAAATAGCCCCCCAAAGCAGTTCACATTTGGGGAGTTGACATAGGACAGAGAGAAATAGAGGGGAGGAGGCAGGTGGGAGGGGAGGAGAGCAGAAAATGAAAACTTCCGTACCTACCCACAGCTCCTCACGCCTCTGTGCGTCTGCATCCATTTCCTCACTAAGCAAAGGGCAGCGATGGAGCCGCCTTCCTGAGACAGGTGGCAAAGGACAGGCTGGGGCCCAGCCCAGGGGCAGGTGGGGGCCCGGGCACCTGAGCACACGTGGGAAGGGATGGCTGTGTGCGCTGGGGCGGGGAGCAGGGGTGGCGACCGGTGCTGCCTGGCTGTGGGGCCGGGGCATGAGCCCCCTGGGGCCAAGACGTGGGTGTTCGACAGACACAGGGAGGGGCAGGGCCGGGGGCAGAGCGGATGGCACGGCCCATTCGGTGAAGGTGACAGCTGGAAGGAAGCCCCGTCTCCCGTGCCCCCACCAGCCTCGCACACTCTGGCCTTCCCTTCGCCCTCAGCCCCCGCGCTCAGTCACACCCGTGCCCACGGGGTGGGGCCCCGAGCCCTGCGGTCAGCCTGGTCTGGACCCCTGGGCACTCCAGGGAACTAGCGGGCTCACTGCGGGCTGTGGCGTCCAGGATAAACTGAGCTCTGCTGGCTGATTCTCAGAGAGAATGTGACGGCGATGGAGTACACAGAGGCCCGAAAACTCAGCAGCTCGTGCCCTGTGGCTCGGACACCACGGGGCTCGCCAAGAGGGGGCCCTTTTCACTGTGTCCCAGACACCAAGGCTGCCTCCTCCGGCGGGCGCAGTGGCAGCCCCCGTCCAGCAGAGGGCAGCGCCCCCGGGCCCAGCTAGAGCTGCTCCAGTCGCATGAGGCTCAGGGAGGTACCAAGATCAGGCAGCTGGCCCAGCTGAGCAGGTGGCGTTGTGGTAATCACTGCTGGCCTCTGGGGCAGGGGCAGAGGGAGAAGAGAAAGGGTTCACCCTCTGACCCCCTCGGACTGCTTGCTCTGCTGCGGCATTTGGCCCAGGTCACCCGTGGCCATTGCCTGCCCACTGCTTAGAGCTGCTGTAGGCGCGTGGAAACCCTCCGTTCTTTGCCTTTCCAGACATCAAATCTATGCAAGTGACCCTCCAATGCTCCCGCCTGCAAAAAGATGCACATGGGCCTCCCCTCCCCCCCCCCCACACACATTCAAGCTGGACTCCAATCCTGCACACAATTCAGGGGCTTCTGAAGTCCCTGCAGGGACCTCGAGCATGTGACCCAATCCCTGCAGGGACCTCGAGCATGTGACCCAAACTAACGCCAACACTGTGCTAGGGACCGCTAAGAACACTACAGACAGTCAGTGAAGAAGCAACCGCCCAGGGACACTTCTCTACGAACTTAACGGTAACCGCCAACCCCGTGACAGTGCACCATCCAGGCGCCGTATCGTTCGGAATTCTACCACCGCGCGGCTTCAGGAACTCTCTCCTCGACACAGCGCCCGGTGAGGGTAATGCTGATGTCCCAACACAACACAGGACGCGCTCCTGGGGCTGGTGGTGGACAGGAGAAGAGGTCAGCAACCAGAAGAGGAAGAACTCAAGAGCAAATATAAAACGGAATGCTAGAGCAAGTACCAAGTAACCATAAAAATAATTTCCATCCTCTTCCATTTATAAATGAGGATGCTAAGGCCCAGAGGACTAAACTACATACAGAATTCATGTTCTCAATAACATTGCCAAGGATGGGCAGATCCTGACTGGTGCTCAGGGTGGAACCTGTGCCTGATCCACGGCTCCCATCATCACACTTGCCTCTAGCATCAGCCGTGAGGTGCCTAGCAGGTGCCTGGCTCAATTCAGGCAGTATTAGTAAACACCCCTGGTTTGGTTATATTCTCTGTGGAATAACAGGGTAAGTCTAACCCCTGGTTCTTGAGAGTGTGGTCTCCCCACCATCAGCATCACACGGGAAGTTGTCAGAAGAGCAGACACTAGGGGAGGGGTCCCCACACCTGCATTTTGACACGCCCTCCAAGTGAGGACGCAGCGCTCAAGTCAGAGACACCGCTCTCGGAGGTTTCCAAAAGTGTGGCTGGAATGAGGCTAGAGATGTTCTGTGTCAGATAAGTTTGAGAGAAACACAGTCTAGTCCCCTTCCAGCACATTCCAGACACACATGAGCACATTAAAGGCTCTGAAAGTTCCACAGTCAAGGAACCTGTCTGACTTGACTTAGCCCTGGGTTTCCCAAGTTTACCTGCCCAGAGAATCTTACGTGACAGCTATCCGTGCCTGCCGGGTGGAGAAACGCCGGCCTGGAGGGCCCCTTCCAGGGCTGACACTGGTGGGTCCGGGAGGCAGAGGCTTGCCGCCAGCACGCCCTCCAAGCGCCCAGCTCTTAACAAGACTAATTAGGGCTGGAAAACATCAGACCCGCTGTGGCCCTGGGTGTCTCACCTCCACGCAGCAGAGGCTGTCTGCCCTCTCCTAATGCAGGCGCCTTACAGGAGTGCAGGTTTCCCTGGCACCATAAATTCAGAGCCAAGTTCTCTCTCCCTTTCAAGGCAAGGAGATTTGCAGGCAGGTCGCTACCACTGCTCCCGAGATGGAGCCCTGCGGACCCGCTGGGGCTTTCCCAACACCGGCCGACTGTGGCCGGCCACTCACACGTTCTTTAAGGCCTAAGGATCTGCTCTTGAGCAGCATCACCAAATAGCATGCCAGGTCCTACCGCGACCTTTGCTGATGGCTGCCAGGCTGAGGGGGGCAGCCGTGCCAGGCACACACTCTGGTGCAAGAAACTGCAAACTCAAGAGTTCAGTGATTTGCAATACAAGAGAGACATCTTCCTGGGACCAATTACAGGGTTAAACAGCAGAACCCCTCTTCTTGCATTTCTAATAAAGTGTTCCCCAAACTGTCAAAACACTTTTCAGAAAATTCTCTGCTTCATGAAAAGCAGCCCTCTGAAAATCTTTGTCAAGGAACACCCCCCCATCCCTCTCTGCACCCCAGAACTGCCAACCCATGCACTTTCTTATCAAACACACAGTGCACAAAATGCAACCAGCATTCTTCACTGCTCGTCCAGCACCTCACATGCCTTGCCCAGGGCATTTATACAAGTTGACTTTATCTAGGCAAAATGTCAAGATTTATGTGTACTGCTCTGAAGGGTCAGCCTGCCATGTGACCAACCCCAACAGCTGATCAGAAGATGAACAGGAACATCCCAGCTGGAGAGGCCATGCTCACCCAGCCCCGTGTGCCTGCAGCATGTCCCAGTCTGCAGGGGGGGCACGGCTGAGGCCCGAGCCCAGGCAGGGACAAGGTCCAGACTCCTGTGAACACCGCTTGCTAAGGCCACACATGGCTGGGCTTAATTAAACATAAGCCTTCGGGGATAATTTTCTCTCCTGGGCTTTTAGACCCTTTCCCTGTCTGTCCTAAGCACAAGCGAGGCTCTTGCTTCCAAAAAGGCATGTGGAATGTGCTCAGACGTCCCAGAAGTTCACTCAAGACACCGCTTGGGTCGAGGGCACCCAAGCATGTAACACCCTGTGTCAGATTAAGTCCACAGTGGTTGCTTGTCATCCATATTTAATTTTGTGAGTCTGTTAATTTTTCACTAGGTTCTAGCAAGGGCCATTGGAGGTCCCCAGGAGTGCGCTCGGTGAGGCGAGAAGTACTTTGTGGCAGAGCAGATTGGGCTTGAAATTGGGGTGTCCCACTTTCCCATTTGGCTGCCGAGCCCCATCTTCCCAACCGGTGGCACAGATCCTGAATAAAACATGGTCCCATTTGGAGCTGACTTTCCTTTTTCTCCCTGTCACAATTGGTTTTCTTCAAGGAGAAGCACTTTTTTATGAAGGAGATGTGCTCTAACTCCAGGGTCCTACGCATCTTGGCTTTGCTTCCAAAGCAGATGGAGGCCACGTCCTTTGATGGCATCTGGGTACCTCTTCCTGTGGAAGAAGCCAGACCCCAGGGCAGCTGGGGACCCCAGCAGAGCCTCCCCTCAACACAGTCCCGCTCCTGCCTGGTGCCCACTGCCCCTTAAAGGAATAAAGTCAGGTCCTTGGGCCCCTTCTGGGGGGAAGCTGACCCCGGTCCCTGCATCCCCACTGCTTCCTCAGCCACAAAGCAGGGCTCAGGAGCCCCAGGGCTGGGCCAGGCCAAGTTCTGACAAAAAGGCAGCAGCACAGACCTATTTTGGTAATTATTACTCTATGCCAAGTGTTTCACTCTCTCCCGCAAAGGAACCCCACAAAGTACGTTTGCTTGTTCTTCCTACACACAGATGAGGAAACCGAGGCTCAGAGAGGTGAGAATAAACTTGCCTCAAGTCCCCCAGGTAGCAGAGTGGGTGGAAATGGTCTCTAATCTGGCCTACACATTTAAGGCACCGAGTCCGGCTGGCTGGCAGCTCCCCACCCCCACCCCCTCCCATGGCCTGCAAGGCAGCACGGGGTGCCCTGGGCAGGCAGGGCAGCCGAGGTGGGGACCACAGGCTCCCGGGAACTCAGGCCTGCGCAGGAAAAGGTGGAACGCACCTAAGACACCTGCCCAACGGGGCACGGAGCGGAGGTCATCCTGCCGCCCAGCCCGCCCCACAAGGGGGGCTGGCTGCTTCTGATTGGCGGAGGCTGCTGGGAGCTGCCCGCTGGGGGACTCGGCCTCAGCGGCAGCCGCTCCAGCCAAACGACTATCCCCGACCACTTCCCAGCCGCTGCCTACGGGCTCCTTGGTCCACCGAGAGCCAGAGAGCAGAGGGAACGGGATGGGACAGGACAGGGAGAGGCATGTGCTTGGCCAGGAGGGGGCATCCCTTGGGGTTCAGCCACTGGACAACAGAGATGAATCCCTCAAGGCACAAGATGTCACTGTCCCCGGGAACGAGGCTGGGCACCCTCCTCGTGGACAGACTGTGGAAAGAGCCAGACAGGGGTCCAGGGCGAAATGGGCGGTAACCCGCGCGCCTCTCTCCTCCTTCCGCTGATAGGAGAGCGAGATAAGGCGGCAGCTGGGAAGTTCAGGGACGACGGGCTTGAGTAACACCCACGAACCATCTGTCCCTCTGGGATCCGGCCATTTCCCACCCTGAACCTACTTCCCGTCAGGGAGAGGTCTGGCCGGATGTCCGGGCCTGTGGGGGCACGTCCTCCGGGGGCTGGTCCTCCCAGGGCTGGCACAGCCGCAGAAGGCAGGGCAGGTGCCCATCTGTCCCTACTTCTTTCCAGCTCCTGGCCTTTCCTTTGGCCGCAGCCACAAGGACTCTGCCGCCCATCAGTGTCGTCCAGACCTGCAGATGTCCTCGGCACCTGAACTGTCACAGCCTTGTGGACAGCTTGTCCTAGGCTTCCTTCTCCATGTTGAAAATTCAAACCCTCCTTAAAAGGCTAATACTTACTAAGCCCTTCCAATGTGCCAGGCACTCTCTCAAGCGTTTTATGTGAGAGTTGCTAGCCCCATTTGCTGAAGCCCAGAGAGGTTAAGGAACTTTGCTCAGTCACGGTCACAGCCTGCCAGCGGCGGAGCGTGGGTGGCCGGGCAGCTCCAGAGCCCGCACCGGTGCCCCTGCATTCCTGCCTCAGGCCCTGGGCTCAAGTTCCAGCACCCACCATGCCCCCCAGGGCAGGCCCAGAAACCGCCCAGAGGGGTCTGGGGGAGGAAAGGGGCCCTGTGCTCCCAGCAAGTGGGCGGCACGCTGCCCAGGGCTCCCGGGGGGGGCTGTGCCATGAGCACACTCTCCCATGGGGCTGAAGCCAGATGCTTCTAGATGACCAGAAGGCTGGACAAAACCGGCCACTAGACAAGGCTGCCACACTCAGGAGACGAGTACCCGGGGCTGGTTTTGCCTCAGTCTGACTTACACGGAGCTGCAGGTTTGGAGGGCAAGGTAATGTCTGACAATTAAGAGTTCCACTGATGTCTGAAAACAATCTAAAGCCTTGGGCTGATTGGCCCCGAAGGCACCCTCTGCATCCCTTCAAAGCCGTGGTCTCTGGATGGTCAGCAGCCCAGGCTGCAGGAAGACGAGAGCCATGTGAGGAAGCCAGGCCTCAAGGCTGTGGACTCGGGGGCTCAGAGCTGGTGCCGCCTGGAGGCGCCGAATCACAGGCCCCGGGGCTCCGGACGCCTCCCTTACCTTCCAGAGGTGGGTGGCTGGTGCCGGGTGGACACCGCCTCCCACAGGTGTACAGGTCCCTTTACAGGGCCAACCATCACTGGAGCACTGGCTCCTGCCTTCTGAAAGATAAAGAGGCCTTCCCGGGTGAGTCCCGTGGGAAAGGGTCCCCACGCGCTTGGGCGACGACCCGGCCCCTCACCCACAGCCCCCTCCCTCCCTACTGCCCACCCAGGCCACCCCCCTTAGGCCTGTGCACCTAAATCACACCCACAGTAACCCTCACACTCCTGTCTTCACCTCATGATGTTCTGAAGGGCTTAGTTTGTGACAGTGGAGATAATGAAATCTTTTTTTTAAAAAAAGTTTGAGGTGGTGCGAGCGGGGCCAGGTTCCCCGCGCGCCGAGGGGAAGGGCACCGCGGGTCCCCGCAGCCCGCAGGCCGGGCGGGGTGGGTGTCCGCGGGGGAGTCCCCGGTCCCTGTCAGGCGGGGCGAGACCACGGCGCTCGGGCCGCGGGGGGGAGCGTGGGCACGCGCGGCCGGGGGGAGGCGGCCCAGCGCGCTGGAGCTCCCGCCGCCGCCCCGGGGGCTGGCTGATGGTTCGGGAGGGAAGATGGCTGCGGGGCAGCCGCAGGCCGGCGTCCGGGCGCGGCGCTGCTGAGCCCCGCTCTCCGGATCCCCCTCCCGCGGTGGGCGCGCCCGCCCCGGGGCTCCCGCGGGCCCCTCCCCCTCCCCTCCCCCTCCCTTCCCCGCAGGTCCCCCCCGGTGCGCCCCGCGCAGTCCGCGCCGCCCGCCGCCAGCCCGGCCCGGGCGCCGCGGCCGACAAGGTCAGGAGACGAGAGGCGACGCGCGAGTGCGGCCGGAGGGAGCCGAGCGGAGGCGGCCGCGGCCGCGGCGGGGGTCTGTCCCCCCCGACCGGGCAGCGGGACTGAGGCATGCGCCGGTGAGGACGAGGAGCAGCGGCGGCGGCGGCGGCGTTTCCTCCGGCCGGACTTGCCCTCGGGGGCCTCTCCGTGCGCGCCCCGGAGTGCAGCCCCGCCAGGCAGGGGCGCTGTGGAGGATGGGGCCGGGGGGCCCGGCCCGCGCTGGCACCCCGCAGCCGGCGGCCCCGGGGCCGTGGAGGGCCCGGCCGGCGGGCGGCGGGGGCGCCTCCTGCCTGTGGGACGGGACCAGCTGGCTGCTGTGCTACGGCTTCCTCTACCTGGCCCTCTACGCGCAGGTGTCCCAGTCCAAGCCGTGCGACAGGACCGGCTCCTGCTTCTCGGGCCGCTGTGTCAACGCCACCTGCCTCTGCGACCCGGGCTGGGTGGGGGACCAGTGCCAGCACTACCAGGGCAGGTTCAAGTTAACAGAAACTTCTGGATATTTAACAGATGGTCCAATTAATTACAAGTATAAAACTAAATGTACATGGCTAATTGAAGGCTATCCAAATGCAGTGTTAAGATTAAGATTCAATCATTTTGCTACAGAATGTAGCTGGGATCATATGTATGTTTATGATGGAGATTCAATATATGCACCTTTAATAGCTGTGCTTAGTGGCTTGATAGTCCCCGAAATAAGGGGAAATGAAACTCGGCCTGAAGTCAGAACATTTGGCTATGCACTGTTACACTTTTTTAGTGATGCTGCATATAATTTAACCGGTCTCAACATTTTTTATTCAATCAATTCTTGTCCTAACAATTGCTCTGGTCATGGGAAGTGTACAACTAGTATGTCTGTTCCAAACCAAGTATATTGTGAATGTGATAAATACTGGAAGGGTGAAGCTTGTGACATTCCTTACAGTAAAGCCAATTGTGGAAGTCCAGATCATGGTTACTGTGACCTCACCGGAGAAAAACTGTGTGTCTGCAATGACAGTTGGCAAGGCCCTGATTGTTCTTTGAATGTTCCTTCTACTGAGTCTTACTGGATTCTGCCAAATGTTAAACCCTTCAGTCCTTCTGTAGGTCGGGCTTCCCATAAGGCAGTTTTACATGGGAAATTTATGTGGGTGATTGGTGGATATACTTTTAACTACAGTTCTTTTCAAATGGTCCTGAATTACAATTTAGAAAGCAGTATATGGAATATAAGAGTTCTATCAAGCAGTCCTCTCCAGAGATACAGACACTCTCTTGCTTTATATCAGGAAAACATCTTTATGTATGGAGGCAGAATTGAAACAAATGCTGGCAATGTCACGGATGAATTATGGCTTTTTAACATACGTAGTCAGTCATGGGGCACAAAAACTCCTACTGTTCCTGGACATGGTCAGCAGCATGCTGTGGAGGGACATTCAGCACATATTATGGAGTTGGATAGTAGAGATATTTTCATGATAATATTTGGATATTCTACAATATATGGTTATACAAGCAGCATACAGGAATACCGTATCTCATCAGACACTTGGCTTGTTCCAGAAACTAAAGGAGCCATTGTTCAAGGTGGATATGGCCATACCAGTGTGTATGATGAAATAACGAAATCCATTTATGTTCATGGAGGCTATAAAGCATTACCAGGCAATAAATATGGATTGGTAGATGATCTTTATAAGTATGAAGTTAACACTAAGACTTGGACGATTTTGAAAGAAAGTGGGTTTGCCAGATACCTTCATTCAGCTGTTCTCATCAATGGAGCTATGCTTATTATTGGAGGAAATACCCATGACACTTCCTTGAATAACGGTGCAAAATGTTTTTCTGCCGATTTCCTGGCATATGACATAGCTTGTGATGAATGGAAATTATTACCAAAACCAAATCTTCATAGAGATGTCAACAGATTTGGACACTCTGCAGTTGTCATTAATGGGTCTATGTATATTTTTGGAGGATTTTCTAGTGTACTCCTTAATGATACCCTTGTCTACAAGCCTCCAAATTGCAAGGCTTTCAGAGATGAAGAACTTTGTAAAAATGCTGGTCCAGGAATAAAATGTATTTGGAATAAAAATCACTGTGAATCTTGGGAATCTGGGAATAATAATATTCTTAGAGCAAAATGCCCTCCTAAAACAGCTGCTTCTGATGACAGATGCTACAGATATGCAGATTGTGCCAGCTGTACTGCCAACACAAATGGGTGCCAGTGGTGTGATGACAAGAAATGCATCTCAGCAAACAGTAACTGTAGTACGTCTGTGAAAAATTACACCAAATGCCATGTGAGAAATGAACAGACTTGTAACAAACTTACCAGTTGTAAAAGCTGTTCACTAAACTTGAATTGCCAGTGGGACCAGCGACAACAAGAATGCCAGGCTTTACCAGCTCATCTTTGTGGAGAAGGATGGAATTATATTGGGGATGCTTGTCTTAGAATCAATTCCAGTAGAGAAAGCTATGACAATGCAAAACTCTATTGCTATAATCTTAGTGGAAACCTTGCTTCATTAACAACCTCAAAAGAAGTAGAATTTGTTCTGGATGAAATACAGAAGTATACGCAACAGAAAGTGTCACCTTGGGTAGGATTGCACAAGATCAATATATCCTACTGGGGATGGGAAGACGTCACCTTTTACAAACACAACACTGCAGTGACTTCCGGGTGAACCAAATGATTCTGGGTTCTGTGCATATCTAGAAAGGGCTGCAGTGGCAAGGCTTACAAGCCAATCCTTGTACATCTATGGCAGATGGCCTTGTCTGTGAAAAACCTGTTGTCAGCCCAAACCAGAACGCAAGGCCATGCAAGAAGCTGTGCTCTCTGAGGACGTCGTGTACCAACTGCACGAGCAACGGCATGGAGTGCATGTGGTGCAGCAGCACGCGGCACTACGTCGACTCTAATGCGTGATCTCCTTTCCGTATGGACAGTGTCTGGAGTGGCAAACTACCACCTGCTCTCCTAATTGTTCTGGATTGAGAACCTGTGGACAATGTTTGGAACAACCTGGATGTGGCTGGTGCAATGATCCTAGTAATACAGGAAGAGGACACTGCATTGAAGGATCTTCACGGGGACCAAAGAAGCTTGTTGGAATGCACAGTAGTGAGATGGCTCTTGACACCAGTCTTTGTCCTAAAGAAAAGAACTATGAATGGTCCTTTACCCAGTGCCCAGGTAATAAAAATGTGATAAAAACAAAACAAAACAAAAGTTTGAATATTCATCTCTCAGAAGTTGTGTACTGATGTTGAGTAAATGCTTGGACCCAGCGGTCGGGTCGTGGGGACAGCTCTGCAGTGTGGCCACCCACCCCCATTCCTGGGCCCATCTCCCCACGTGATCCTTTTTCCCATGGTCCATTTTTGCTTTGGTTTTGGGTTTACACCCTTTGACATTTTTTCCAGTGTGTCACAGGGGGCCTCCCAAGGGGCACGCTCTGCCCTGGGAAGTCTGTTATGATTCTGAAACCTTCTGTTTATGTGCAGGTGATGTGTTCCAGGCCTGTAAGGTCTGTTACTCAGGGCGGAGGCGGCCTCTGAGGGCACGGGGAACTGGGACTTGCTCTCCCAAACCGACTTACCTGCAGAAGTCCTGGCTCAACGATACGGCTGTGGCCAAGGCTAAATGGTATTGTTTCTAGAAGGCAGTGAGGATAATGCACTTCATTGACTTTCTGTCTCCCTCAGCAACAAAATGAAATATAAAAATGAACCCAGACTTAAAAAGGTGGACATGTGTGGATATGAGCTGACACGAACAGCTGTATGTTCTCTTCAGAGTATAACTTTCCCAAAAGCCACGGATGAAACCTTCCTCCTTGTCCACAGTGTCTTAGATATTTAATACATTTCAAACACCAACGACCTTGAAAGTAAACAGGATGGTCATTCCTAACGTCACTGATCTTCTTGGAAACTGGCTGTATGTGCACCGAGTGGTTCTTGCATCTCTAACAATAATAAGGCAGCAGCCGGCCTTACGCTCCGACCGCCTGATCCAGTGACTCTAAAAAAATGAGACGTGCTGTCAAGTAAGCATCTTCCATTCAGGGATGGAGGCCCCAGGCCATGGATGGAAACCGGGGCAGAACTAGCCATGTGATGTGACTCCTTTTCTGCGACGGTCTCTGTCCCCTCCTCCCCTTCCTCTGCATCGGGGTGGACCGACGGGAAAACACAGGCACCTGCTATAAACAGGCTTCGGCACGCGGGGGTGGGTGCGCCGCTCTCGGTGGTGCAGGAGCCCGAGCCGACTGCGCAGGGGCAGCGCAGCCCGGCTGGGCACCGAGTCTCCCGCACGACACACACACACAGCATCCTGCGCCTCTCCCAGGCCCTCAGCCAGAGATAACGTCTCAGCGCCGACATCGCATCGCCGTGAAAACAAAACGCTGCAGTCTACTGGAGGTGGTTTTTGCTCTGATTAAAATTTTTATTGAAATCTCTCAAATGTTACCAAGAAAGAGTTTTTGCCAGAGGGGGGAGGAAAAAAAAAATAGCTGAACAAGCAAATTCAACATGGGAGCTCCCTCTGCTGGTCTGCGGGAGGTTGACAGGTTACAAACACATTCCCAGAGACAAACCTAATCTGCTGGAGAAGTGGGCAAAAGACAGGTGTGTTGGGCTTTGCCTCAGGAGAGAAACACTAGAAGAAAAAAAAAATCCATGTCTCAAAACAGAGCACAATATTGCTGAGAGAAGTAAAATCATTTAAAAGCGTCTCCAAAGACACAGTACAGTAAGCTTTCCAAAACAGCCGGAATCATCCTCTACGGGGACGCTCCGTGCGGGTCTTCCCCACTGCGCTACCTCCAGTTAGCAATTCTCTTAGGCCCTCGGGGTGAAGGTTAAGTTCTGGTGCCCTTGTCTTTGCCTCCAAGTCTCTTCTTACAGGCTTCTCATCTACTTAGAGGAGAAAGATCCAGGGGGTCACGGCAGTGAGGCCTTCCCAAAGTTCCATCAGAGTAAGTCTCTGGCGAGCCAGCACTGGCGTGGGAGGAGCAAGTCTGGGAGGGTGGGAGTCACGTGACTCGGCTCCGCCCAGGGCAGAGCCGCGCGCAACTTTGGACAACTCCATCTTCTCCCGTCTGTTTCCTCATCTGTAAAATGGGTCAGACCAGCTGATCTGTAAAGCCTCCACCAGTTCGTTCTACGATTCTCTTATTGGACCAAGAAATTTAAGGAACCATATTTGCTCCTGAGTCTTTAGGATACACAACCCCGCATGCACTGGGCAGGGCTCCAAACGAGAAGCGGGCTGAGCACAAGGATGTCCCTGAGCAGAGGAGGGCCCCACAGACTCTAGGACCGGTGTGGGGGAGCCAGGTGCAGTCCGGGTCGGGAAATTCTCAAGACCGAGGAGGAGCCCCCGGGGCGGGAGCCGCTATGGGCCGCACTTCCTGGAGGTCAGGTGGGCAAATCCACCTAACCTCGGCACTGTCTCCCCCATCCTTTCCCACGATGGCACCCGCTTTCTCATCTCTTAAGCCTCTCTGGCTCCTTCTCCCACCATATTCCCAGACTATTTGGATTTCAGCCTTTGTAAGAATGACGCAAGGGCAGGCCACCCAGTGCCATGGCCAACAGCCGTCATTCCCAGTCCTTTCTGGCCATTGCCAATTCTTGCTTTTCGTGGATGATGGCGAAGGGCTTTGTGGCTGATTAACCAAAGCCACAGATACTCAGAAGACCAGGCAAACTTGGCCCTGCTTCAGGGTATTACTAATATCTGCCCAGTCGTCAGTTGATCCGTATTTAGGATCAGGGAGAGGAGGCATATCCGCAGAGGGCCGGGGAGGGCCCACAGGCAGACGGGGCTCTGAGCCGCTCCTCATCATCTATAGTCACCCCAAGGCCACTACGGCCACACTGCTGATCCAGCAGGGGTCCACAGGTCTGTGATGTATCCCTGCAACCTGCCGTTGAGGGTGCACCGTGGGACCGAGGTGGGAAATGCAACAGGAGAGAAAAGCAGAGCGCACTGCCTGTCCTGAAACTGGGTGGCCGGTCTCAGACCACCCTGCAATTTCGGTCCTGTTCCTGGCGGCGTACTCTGACCACTGCCACCTACATCTTTCTTTACAACTTGCACTACTTTCTACCTCCTCCTCCCACAGAGGGTGTCCAGCACTGGGGCCCAGGCAGCGCGGCCTCCCCTTTGCAGTGTGCCTGCAGAGTCTGGTGAGCGGGGTCCTCCGTGTACGCATGAAGCACAGGTAACTCAGCTGAGAGAACAGGTGTCCGGTCAGCCACACTCCCGACCCCATGGCCTGCGAGAACCCTCCCCGGGGGCGGCCTGCAGGTTCTCATACCACACAGTGAGTTCTGCACAATGTGAAAGAGTTTTAAGTACAAGGAAGAGTTTTCTGGGAAGCTGTTTACTTCACCCACCTTTGTAAATAATCACTGCGGGAAAACAAACAAAAAAGTCCAGGTTGACTTTTTTTTAAAAACCAGGCTTTCCTGGCTTTTGGAGGCATTACACACGCAGTGAGACAGATGAATCTATGCTCCTTCTCTCCAGTTTGCTACAGATCTGCACTCAGGGTTCCTCACCCTGATCACCAGTACTTGCTCTGAAAGCAAACCGAAGAGAAACGGTCTTTCCACCGGGAGAAGAAGGGGTGGCCTGTAAGGTCACCCGTGGAGAAGTGGCACGTTTGTCTATAACACTCAGGCTGTTCTTAGCAAAGCAGTCAGAACAAAGACCTCCACCGTGACCTGTAATTACATTCTAGACACTATTCCTTATAAACAGAAAAAAGGGACCTCTCATCCTTTCTGTAAGATACGTGAGACAGCCCACCGGCCTCCTCCGGAAGCTTCCAGCTTTCCCCGTTAGTCACCAGACCTCACGGCACTTGAGAACAGAGCTCTCTCAGCACACAGACACATACAGACACACAGCTCCTGGTGAGGGCAAGCCCCCCTCGGCCCCCCTCCCACACCACCAGCGCGCCCTGGTGACGCCCGCTAGCCGGCTGGTAGCTGGGGAGGCAACCGGGCTGGTCTCTCGTGTGAGATTCGAGGGTGAGATCATTAAGGAAGAGAGAGGTGTCATTGGGGCGGACATCAGGCAGTGGGTGATATCATTGCTGACAGATGGTCCTCGCGTCCTGGAGGGGTGTCAGCTTGATTTAGAGGGGATCAGTAATCTCCTGAAGGTGGATCTGTTAGCCGGGCAGGTGTTAGTGGTACGGTGCGCTCTGGGGATCCGGGCTGGGAGGACTTGTGGGGGGAGTGAGGTCGTGGCCGAGGGGGATGAATTACCTGGGCATGCAGTGAGGCGGGGTAGGTGAAAGCAGCAGGAGGAGGTAGGGCAGGCGCTAGCTCCGCTGGGTACAGAGGGTACGGGGCCCACACTTCAGGGCCACTGGGGTAAAGTGCAGGCACTGTGAGCTCATCTGTAAGAAAAGAATAGGGAGAGTTAGTGGTCACCAGACGGCTGCTTCCGCATCAGAGCACACACCCGTCCCCCAGGGCCCCGGCAATGGCACAAGGCAAACTGCTCTGATTCTTCTGATGACCTGTGGGCTTTGGTCCCCAAACTCTAAGCAAAGGAATGGTAAGTTCAACCTGGAAAAAAGCAACAGGCACATGCCTCCTGTCTGGCCTGCTGAGATCTCAGGCATGGGTCCAGCCTCGGACACACTGACATCTTTCCAACTGCAGCTGGGGCACCTGAGAGCAGGGGGGATTTCCTGCAGGGACAGCTGCTGTGGCCCTCCGAAGAGAGGCAGACAGGTGGGAGCGGCGAGCCCGAGGCCCGCTGGAGAGCCCCCGGGGGACACTGGCTTACTGGCAGGACCCCACAGACCAGAAGAACTATAGGACTTTTCTGTGCATCAGTGTAATTACTATTGGCACGTAAATCCCGATCACCAAGCATTTTCCCTTTAGCCTCAGAAGCATGGGGCCAGACATCGTGCCCACAGGGCAATTAAGATATTGAAAATTCAGAGAATAGGAGTGAAAAGCCGTGGGTATCCTGATGGAAGCAAAGCTCCGCAAAGATGCAAATGAGAATCCTCACAGTCACCTTGTCAGGAGCTGTTTACCCTGCCTGTATTTTCTAGGAGAAAAAGTGAGTCACACTGCCAACTGACTGGTCTGAATTTTCCTCATGCGGCTCCGATTCCATTCAGGTCAAGCTGCAGTTTGCCAGACTGGACGGCAAGTGCCCGGGCCTCAGAATGTTACCAGGAAGCGATCCATTAAAGTAACGGCTCATACAGGAGGGAGCGTCTCAACAGAGGCAAAAATAACACCAGTAATACTCAGGAATCTGGAGACTGTGGACCGCCAGATGTGCCTGCATCACCTGTCAAAATCTGGAATCAAGCAGGCCACTGAGGCCAGCTGGGAGGGAGTCTGGAAAGCCTACTTGGTAGAGTGACCCTGCCATTCAGGACTTTCCAGAAGGCTACAGCACCCGTGACCAAGGTCCAAGTCACACACTCTGTCTTACCACCTAGGAAGCCACCCCAGGCCTGCTCAGCCTGCCCAGGCCTCCCTCATCCTCCCCATCCCTGCCAAACTCTGGCTCCAGGCAGGGTTTCAGTGTGGTAAGAAGCAAAGCCGGGCTCTGCTGAGGGTGCCAGGGGGGCACAGGGACCTGGTGGGCAGGGGGGTCTCCCTGCAGCCTGCCTGCACTGCCAGTGCTCCCGACAAAGTGACAGGGAGCCCAGAGCTGACTGGGGCCGCCTACCCAGAGGGCGGCCTGGACAGGCCACTGACGTAGAATGGTGCCCTGGGGCAGGTCACACAGGCTGCTGTGCCCAGGCTAGAGAGCCCTCAAGGGCGGGCTGATGGCCCTTATTTGCACAGAACAGTGGCTTCACGTGTCTCTAAAACAAGCAGGTCTACCCATTCACTTCCAGGTCTAGTGTGCATAGGTGTGTGTGTAATTTCTGAAAGGAAATTCCTTGCAAAGGGGCTGAGACAATGTTTAACAGACCCTGCGTTTCCTGTCCCGACGAGAGCCCGTGATCTCCACCAGCACCACTCATGTGGGAACCCAGCTCGTGGAAACTAACCAAAACCAATGCCTCTGATTCTAACAAGCCACCACTCTCGGAATGGCAAGTTATCGTTATTTCAGCTACCCCGCTATTTTAAGATGTTCTGAGTTTTTTAGATGCCAAGACTCTCAAGAGCCAGCACAGTCCCGTCTCAGCCCCAGCGTGTCCGGCCAGCCGCATGCGGGCCTGCAGTCTGGGGGGCCCTCCTCCCCTGCCCTTGTCACCTGACAGGCTCGGCGGGGAGGGGCTTGCACTCATCACCGGTGCTTCCTTTACAAAGCTGTAAAAATGAAATGAGTATGTCTTTTAAGATATTCAATCCTAAAGAGATAAATATGGAGATAAGAAGGTGCAGTGTTTCCACCTCAGCCTGACTCAGGGAATTTATCATTTCCAGACATCTGCACATTTTTGGCCTAAAGCACTATTTCCCATTGGGTCTTTTCTGATGCTCAAAGACAATTCACTGATTAACGTCTGCACAAAACCCAGCCCAAGAGAGTGGGGGTCCTCTGACCCCAAATCTGCTGAGTAACAGTTTAGAAAGGTAGTGAAGCAGAGCCTAAAAAGGAAGAGAACCACCTTAGGGGAAACACACCCCCGGTGTACCTCCCCTTTCCCTTCGGGAATCCGCAGTCACCATAGAGGAGCCAAGCAGAGCGCACCCCCTTCCTGCGGCCCCGGCTGCATCCGTTCTCCTTCTGCCCCTCTGAGGACGGGGCAGCCGGGCTCAGACTGCGTCGGTGGGGACGTCCGTGCCAGGGAGCCCCGGGAGGGGGCAGGGAGGGGGCCTCCAGCAACACATTTCCCGGGGCTGGGGCCTCGCTCGGGTCTGCCCCGCGGTGCGTCATGGCCCTCGTTGTACTGAATAGGACCTGACGAGAAATTCAAACAGTTGTTTAAAGACACACCATTTCATTGAAGGAACTTAGGAAGGTCACAGATCTAACATGCCCCAGCCCTTGCCGTATTTGTCACACACATTGAAAAACCTGAATAAAGGGAGGTTCAAACCAGAGTTCATGTTGCAGAGCAGTAATTTTCAAAGTGAAAAATAAAAGCAGTAGAAAGCTGTTTTCCAAACTAGTTTTTCCCAGAAACCCTTTCTGATAAAAGTGTCCCTATTTTGTGTGGCGGTGCTGGGGCATGGCTGAAGGACATTAGCCCCTGTGATAGTCCCCAAGGCACCCCCTGAGGGTTCCAGAGAACACAGTTTGAGAACTGCACTGCTCTCAACCAGGGACCAGGTTTTAAAATAAGGTCCTCTTCAACATCTGGAGTCTGAACTTCCTGTAGCCCAGAAAGCACCTGAGAGAGGGCAGCTGGGGCGGAGCAAGAGAGCCAGGAAGAACGCGACACGGGGCGGAACAGAGCAGGACCTCCTGACTGACCCGGACTTCAGAGCCCTAAGTCCCTGGGGCGGCTGCCCACGGAGCCCTTGAGTGAGCATTTATAGCCCCATAAATGAAGTGCAGGACTGTCTAGCCCAGGACTGAAACAGGTAAAATAACAGGAAGAAAGGTAAATAAACCAGGTGGCATTATCTACTTCATCCTGCCTGCTCCCAACTGTGTCCTTGTATCTGCACTTAGAGCACCCACAGGGCGGCGTCCTGGGAGTCAGTGCTTCTCAAATGGGGTCCCCTGACTGGGACAGCATCCCCGGGCGCCTGGGAGACACGCAGATTCGTGGCTCCACTCCAGACCTACTAAATCAGAAATTCTGCCCTTTGGGTGATTCTGAGGCACACTTAGGTTTGAGAACTAATGGGGTGAGTTATTTATCCTCTTACCGTCTTTCTCTCTTAACTGTACTAGAGCGAAGTAGTGTGCATTTTGCTTTCAGAGAACTCGGTATAGTGCCTGTTAACACAGTCATTTGTTGAATGAATGAGACACAGCAGGACAGAAAATGCAAACGAGAGCAACAATCCTGGACTTGCTTTGTGGGAGAAACCGGAGGATCCAAGCAGACCCGGCCTGTTATCCTCTGCTTGGTGACAGTGAGAAGTGGCACAATGGGGGGCAGCCCGCCCAGGTCAGGATGCACCTGCGGCAAGAAAGCCATGACGGCCACATTTCCATGTGAGGGGGGCACTCTGCCAGCCACACACCCTCCCTGCACGGAAGGTGTCTGAGCTGAATGAGCCATTTGCATTTGTACCCTCTCTGGCAGCTAGCGTGGGCTTGGAAACAACCCAACAGCCAAGGAGGCAGGTTTTCCATAGCACAAGCCCATGACCCTGTGGAGAAGCAGGTGCAGGCAGGGGAGCAGCGGGTGGCCTGTGCCGCTCAAACTAAACAGGGAGCGAAGGTGACGAAGCGAGAGTTTGCAGCCCTGGGCCCGTCGGGGGGAACAGGAGCTCGTCATGGGGTGAGATGGAGCTGACTGGGGGCTCCTGACCACCCCTGAGCAGAAAGACTGTCTGACCCTCCCAAGGCGCTGGGTCAACCACCGACTCCCTGCGCCCCCAGCTGTATCCTTTCTCCTTCTGCCCCTCGGAGGACCAGACTGAAAGCTCACAATATACATGTAAATAGTCCCCTTTTTAGCAAAAGAACCTGTAACCAGAGTTCAGACTGGGTTCCGACCAACAGGGACTGGAAGGTCCCCACCTCCGCCCTCCAACCCCTTTGAAAAGAACCGCCTGCAGAGTCTCTAGTGAAGGTCAAAGGCCGGAGCTCCTGAGGATCGCCTCGTTGGCCCGCTCACCTTCCATGAGCAAGCAAAGCAGCTGCGGAGAGGGGATGGGATGCCTCTTGGTCCAGAATGTGAGGGGCAAGGAGAGCCTTCCACGGACTTACAAACCTGCTGGGAACAGCAAGTCAGAGAACGTCTGACCAGTATCTACTCTGCCTCCTGGGTATTTCTACCTGGAAACAGTCCACAGCGATCTCATGCTCAGCACACCCACCACTAAGCACACTGTCTCCGATGGCCTGTCCCCTGTGCTCCCAGATCTTGGTAAGATGCCGCTCAGATGCCCCAGCCAGGGCGGCCCATCAGTCACCGATCTGCCCACGTGTTCAGTCTTTCACCAAGTTCCCACTGAACCTGCCCTGCTGGGTGGGGGCGACAGTCCCGGGGGAGGAGACAGGCCTCAGATGAGGGGGCTGCACCTCTCGTTTTTAGCGTGCTCATTACTGGAACCCAGCCAGGGTCAGGGTCCTCTGGGAGAGGCTGCCTGACAGATGCAGAATTCCACCAGAAAAAACAGCAGCCATGACCTGGAAGGCCCAAATATGATGAAAAGCTTCCATTTTTAATGGAAAAAAAAATCAAGTTTGAAACAAGAGAAATAAATCAACAATTCTGGTAAGCAATCAATTCCCACTCTCAAACCACAGCAGGTAGTTGATCCACACCTGGGAAGTAAACATTCC